TGCCACCTGTGTCGGGTCACGTCATGGTGCCTCATGTGGGTGTGAACAAGGTTAACGTTGTGCCTGGTTATTCCCAGCAGGGAGCTCTAACACTATGGCAGGGGGGTCCCAGGATCTTCTACAGCCCAACAATCTGGCACTAAGTTGGTGTAAGTATACCTCCACGAATCCCCTCCCCTCTTTAAAAGCCTGTTTTTCAAAAACATGCTGCCCTCGCCCCCTTCTCCCCCCACCCACCAAAGCCCTCCTGATGTCCCATCGTTCTCACACACACACACACTGATCTGTAGCTGATGATCCATATGGCAGGAGTCACACTGGTGATGATCACTGTTTCTAACAGATGTTTGCCAGCCTGGTGCGGAGTTCCCAAAAGGATCTGGACCAGCTGATTATTGACTGACTATTCACATGTCTCGCATCATTACTTTACACACGCTTCCAGTTAATATGGTGTTAAATACTGCATGAGGTTTTGTTGTTGAGATATTTTTTGGGCACGCTGCTAAATCAGAAATATGAGAAATATGTTTTTGATCTGTGTCTGTTTACGGCACTCCTGATTTTTAAAAAATACAGCATATTATAGGATGTTGTTGTGTCTGCGTTCCAGTTGTTTTGGCAGTAGTTTATTATTACGAGGCAGCGATGTTTGATGGGGATTGCTAGTGCAAACTGTTACTTTGATCAATGCCCCGCCTGGCGACGCTGTGTTTGTTCCTAAACTTGTCTGTTATGTTCAAACAGCCAGCGGAAACATCCCAGCACTGCAGAGAGACAAGGACAACACCAATGTCAACGCTGACGTGCAGAAGCTTCAGCAACAGCTCCAAGACATTAAGGAACAGGTAAAACCACGGCACAGGATCCAATACACTCCTGAGAGCGATGATAGAGCGTACAGAGGAATTGGACACAGTGATGTGATTACAGAACATGGTTGTGAGGGAAGTGACACCAAAAAAATGGGAAATCTATAGTAAATACATTTATAAATAAATAAAAGCACAGCTTATCGTCCAGTGGGATTCTAGTTAGAGGCAGTAAAGGCAGTGTCATATCATTCATGCTCTTACAGGGTACACCAGGTGTCCGTGAGGCATGTGTCCACAATCCTTCAATACTTATCTGTCCAAACAAGTGTGTGTTTATGTGCTAAAGTAAAGCTGTATCTTTTTTTTTGCTTTTTTTTTTTTGCATCATTGTTTTACAATGCAACTTGTGTACGACCAACAAATGAGCTTATCCACCTGGAGCCCAAACATCTGCTAGAGGGCGATGTTGGCCATATAACTGCTCTCCACACGTGTGTAAGTCGCAGCAGCCAGCAGAGAAGGCTCGTGTCAGTGTTGTCACATTTTGGTTTTAATTTAATCAAAGTTTTGTGAAATCTTAATTAAAGCCACAGCACAACTTCCATCATTCTGGGTTGATAAGGTTCAGAGCTGCCGTTGTGTGAAATTAGGGTCTGGAGATGATAATCACACCTAGAAACTGTAGCAAAGAAACGTCTGAGACTTTTGCCAGCTTTTCCTGTGATTTTGTTCAGTTGAAATCAAACGGTGACTTTTTCTCTCTGCAGACCATGTGTCCGGTGTGTCTGGACCGGCTGAAGAACATGATCTTCATGTGCGGCCACGGCACGTGCCAGCTTTGCGGGGATCGAATGAGCGAGTGTCCTATCTGCCGCAAGGCCATCGAGCGCCGCATCCTTCTTTATTAGATCTGACCGCAGACTCGTGTTCTTCTCCTAAAGTTTGCAGCATTCACGCTTGCAAGGCCACAAAAAAAAACACAATGGCTGCCTCTGCTGCTGCTGCTACTCCTTATGCTGTCGCTGCTGTTGTTTGGCCACCATCACAGCACCTGAATCAGCCAGTCGGCCTGTCCACATGTCTTAGTCTACACTACAAACCCTCTCTTAATGGCTTGACTGTATTCATGTGGATTTTCGCAGTTTCCTTTATGCATGTCACTTTTTTTTCCCCTCTCACTGCCGCCCTCTTCTGGTTTTCCTCACCCTTCCTCCCTTCTCCTCGTTCGACTTTTCCTTGAGTCTGTTTCAGTACGTTCAGACTCCTAGTCTTGGATATAAACTGTAGCGGTCGCTGCACCGTGGCTGGATTTGAACATGGATGAGCTCTGAGCGCTAGAGCAAAAAAAAGTGTTGACGCGGCCGTGTCAGTGTCTGTTACCTTGGATGTAAAGTTTCTCGTGCTCCTGTTCAGCTGGGCACCGACTGCAGCGGACACTTATTGTATTTTCAGAATTTTTCTTCAAGTGTTTGGGTATGAGAAGCCTCCCGATGTGGATTATGAGTCATTCAGTTATTGTGTCAGTATGACGGCTTGGTCAAAGAATCAGTAAGTGTTTTTTTCAAGGCTTTGTGTCTGTGTTCAGTTTGGCTGATGTAAATGATGACCATTTGTTGGCAGTTTTGCACTAGAAAAGCTGAATCAGGGTTTAAAAAACAAAAACATTATTTGACACACACACACACACACACACACACACACACACATACTCTTCCTATGTTTTGGTGGTTTTCGTCTGCTGTGTGATCAAACACAGAGCAGACTGACCTCCAGGTAGCACACCACACCTGAACTTTAGTTTACCAAACAGTAAGAGGAAGGACGGTGTTACAACGACTCCACCCTCCTGAATGGCTGCTGGTTTGTTGGGATTTAAGACGAGCACACAAACGTATTCCACTTCTGTTCAGTGATCAGTTCTCGTTCTGTCGTCTCTGTTTAACGTCCGACTCTCATGTGACCTGTTGGTATTGTTTAAAAAAAAAAGGAAATCCAATTCCCCAAGCTTCGCTACTTCACCATCGACACCCATGTGCCATTCTCTTCCAAAATCTACTGTTAAATTTTCTTTAAGGTGCTCTGCTAGTTCTTATTTATGTTCCTTTACTTTTACCTGAAGCATTTACTGAGCTAGAAAGTACAATCTACTACAAGTCTATCTTGAAAATTTGGAATAAAATATTTTCTACCGCTCCCAAAAAACTCTAAGGTATCACTGCCTGAACGTAGCCTCAAACTCTCTTAAACATTCTGCTTTGATGTTAATGTTGAAATATGTTCCTTTTGTATTTCTGTTTTGATTTTTGTTTTTTTGACAATAGCTTTTTTTTTGTAGATAGAAATTTTTTTTCCCACAGAAATTGTTCTCTGTACGGCTAATCTGTTTGTGTGAAACTGAAAAAAAATATATATATACTTTTGTTGTCAAATCTGTCAAGTATCCTGTCGCCAGTATTTTATTTTAGATTCAATCTTCTTATTTTTTTTCTAAAGACAGATCAAGGCCTTATGTTTTTGGGAAAGACAATTATTCATGTGTGGAATCTGTGGGGACGTGTGACCAGAAGCGTCCCCCTGTTCTTGAGGACTGAAAGAAACCTTTTATTATTTTGAGTATCAGTTCTGACTCTTCTCACTGGTAACACTTTAAGCTACAAGCACTGATTGGCTTTATGGTAGTGTTGTCTTGTTGTGGGTGTGATGACGAAGCCTATTTTGTACTTTACCCCTCCCGTACCCCCTGCCTCCTCCCCCCTCTCTGTTGACTGTCCTGTTGACAAATTCATCTGTGGCGTCTGTTGGCATGAATGTGTGACGTTGTGCAGTTACAGTACGGCATCGTATCATGGAAGCAGTTCAGTCTGTATTGCTCATAAGTGCTTTTAAAAACAACTCTGTGGCTGGAATAAAGCTCTAAATGAACCAAACGGGGCGATATTAAAAGTGCTGTTTGTTTTTCACCGGGGTGTGTTTGGTTTCTCCAGCAGAGCTCAGATGTTTCTCTGCTTCGTGTGAGCGGAAAATTAGCATTTTGTTGCTTTTCTCCCGCTGTGCAGCGTCTGCCTCACAGAGACAGAGCGGGGAGGTGTGTGCTAATTGAAAATGCTAACACCTAATAATGACTCCGCACTCCAGTGTGATGGTCGGCTGTGCTTAGAAGAGTGTTCCCCTCCTGGTGACGTGTGCTTTGGCTCTACTGAGTGACCAGTAACTGCTTCTTAAAAAGAGGGGAAAGTATATTTAATATTTAGTTAAAAACCAAACAACCAAACGCTTTAGAAAAACTAAATGAAAATAAAGCCCAGGTGAAGAGCAGAGTAGGAAAAGTGATGAATAAAAAATCAAGAATCAATATAAAATATTTTCTTAATTATAATTCTAAAAAATAAAGTAATTTATAAGCCAGAGACTTATAAGTTGTATTATAAAATATAAGATTTCTGAATAAAAAGTTGTATATTTTTGAGAATAAAGTAGTGTATATTTATAATAATAAGATCCTAATACTATGAAGAAAAATAAAAGTAAGCTCACAAAATAGAAATGTAAAAGATCATCCTCAGCTTCTGACAGTATTATATAATATAAATATATTATTAATATAACAAGAAAAACATTATTTTCAATAAAACTTTACAGGGATAAAATGTTGCATTTTAATAAGAATGAAGTTAAAATATTAACTCTAAAAACACGTAATATTAATGAATGACAAACCTAAAACTGAAGTTGGGCTGACAATGTTATTATGTGCTTAATTATAAAACCCACGCTGAACTTTGACTCAACACGTTGCTGTTCTTCAACGTCACCCAGACGTATGACCTTTGTTGTGACCTTGTCATTATATTAGGTTTACTTTATTGTTCCAGTTAAATTTTCGACTTTGTTGTCCATGACACTCACACGTCCCGGCAACTGCAACTTCTGCGATGACATCACTAAGTGACTTTGGGCCCAGCCAATAGCGTCTCTCCTTACTGGGCAGTTGGCAGCAGTGAAGACGGGGCTCTCACCAGAGTGATGAGCAGAGTGATGCATGGTTTCCATTCGGTGCAGTGACAGCGCAGCGTCTCACACACAGCCTCTCCGCCGCTAAGAAATTATGAGCAAAGGCCATTCATGTTACTTCTGCAGCTGACATCACTAAGTGACTTTTGGCACAGCCAATAGCGTCTCTCCTTACTGGGCAGTTGGCAGCAGTGAAGACGGGGCTCTCACCAGAGTGATGAGCAGAGTGATGCATGGTTTCCATTCGGTGCAGTGACAGCGCAGCGTCTCACACACAGCCTCTCCGCCGCTAAGAAATTATGAGCAAAGGCCATTCATGTTGTAGCTCATTGACTTGTCCATTCAAAAACCCGCGCTGGCGTTCAGCGGCGAGGACGCACGGCCTCATAACAAGACATTCATCACGTTGTCATCCTCTCACTTCATGCACACTGAGCGCAGAGGAGGCGCCGACACCTCTTTATACCCCTGCACGTCTCTCTGTGACTTGGCAGCAGGCCCAGAGACTGGGTGCACGGACTGCTGTGCCTGTGCTTTGTCACCGTGCACCGGAGGACCTGTCTGTGTCTGAAGCAGGCGTGGTGATTTAACTGTCACAGCGTCGGACCGTGAGTGAGTGGCAGCTGCTGGACGCTTGGTCAGCATTCATCATCCTGTGTGTGTGTGTGTGTGAGGAGGCGGCCTTATTCTGCCTGCGCACCAGGGTTTGGAAAACGTCAGATGAAGAGACAAACAAATTCTTATAAGGAAAAGCAGCTCATGAATATACACCTGGTTTTATTCTGAGAACTTTTTCCTGGATTTGAGGATGCTCCAAACCTTTAGTGCAATAGTCAGGAACAGAGCTGTTGACTGAACCCAGACCCTGGCTGCCCCGCCGACTGACAGTCAGGGTGCCGGAGACGACACTATCTCTCGAGCTGGCTGCGGCCTGATCCTGTGGAGCATCCCTGGCTGCCAAGTTTCAGCCACTTGAAGGAAGACTGCACCGTTTGCTGACTGGACTGCAGGGGTTGTTAACTCCCACACCAGGAGGTCAGCTAATTCTCCGGCTGCCCCGCAGAGTGTGAGTGATGTTGGCCCGGCTTGACGGAGCAGCAGATAGAGATGAATTGAGCCCCTGGAGAGGTGAGAAGAGCCGGGGAGTGTCTGCGACCCTGCTTCAAGTCTGGGCTGTGATCACGGAGCGCGCTCAGTCACATCCATTAGTCACAGGGACCGATGCTGCCCGCAGGCTGTGCTGCTGGCACTAGTCACAAAGGTGATGATCTAAGAGATATGAATATATATACACTCACATATGTATTTATATATGTATACACATATGTATAGAGGTCAGTGGTGGCCTAGTGGTGAAGGAGGCGGACTTCGGTCCGGAAGGCCCCAGGTTCGAATCCACCAACTGCCAGGTTGCCACTGAGTCACAATGACTAATTTGAAAAATTAGTTTACTAAAGTTTATATCTGTGTATATTTATGTTTATATATGTATATAAATATATGTGTATATATTTATATATATATTATATTCACATATATACATATACATATATGTATGTGTATAATATATATAAATATATATATTTACACACGTGTGTGCACATCCACTCTTTACTGTGAGTTGACTGTCTGATCATGGAGGATTTAGACCTGCAAGTTTAAAGCACATCGCAAGGTGGCAGCACATCCTGACCTTTTGGTCTTCTGTGCAGGAGAGTGTATACAGTAACAGCCCGAGCACCCAGTCCAACAATCGGATCACTTTGTAACAGAGTTATTTAATCAGAACTGGCCCGTGGGCCGTGGAGGAGACGAGACAATATTTCATTGACCAATCAGAACAAACCCTGAGATTAGGACACAGTTAGAAGCTGCCTAGTCATCCAGGAGACTTCATTTATTAAAGTTAGTATTTAATATGCAGTGTAGTACTTTGAGGTTGATGTTAGTTTTTTTTTTTTGTTTGTTTTGTTTTGTTATTGAGCCATAGAAATTAAAACAGTGACATGTTTGGACCACAAACACATTGAAAATTTCTTCTCTCTTCTTCCCACCTCCTCTGGCCTAAGACCTTACTGCCATGTTGGAGGAATTGATGGCTGCCTGTCTGAAGGTCCCTCCCCCCTCCCTCCCTCCGAC